AATTGCAACAGGACCAAAATTTGTATCCAGTGTAGTATTATTCTGGCAAATTCAAACTCGAAATACTGAATGAAATTCACACTTTTCAAATTCTTATTGACCAAAGTTTCTTTCTTCTTCTTTCCTCACTTTTGCTACAAAAGACTATCATGATTCATGAGAGTCATCTCGCAATTCTGAACTAAGCACAGCTCTTACAGAGAGCGGCATCAGGATCAAGACTCGTACATACATACATACATACTGCATATATATATGTGTATGTGTCTGTCTACATTTTACAGTTGATGAGACTATAAACCACAAAAAGCCCCATGATGAGACAGTGATCCATAAAGGGCTCCACCACCATTGTTAAAACGTCGTCTCCCAAAAGCACTCCACATGTTGATTGCTTTCTCTTTACCTGCTTATACACACACACACACACACACATATATGTGTGTGTATATCAAAGAAAAATTAGCACCGACAAATAATATATATATATATATATATACACTGTACACACACACATATAAAGGAAACATATAATGTTATATATGTCAAGATTGATCACCTCTGCGATTGGCCTTCCAAACTTGTCTACTATCTTGCACGGTGAGTTCCTAGTCCTACAACTTTCTATGTTGTAACCAAAAGATTGATTCTCGTCCAATCCCACCACAACAACGTCACGTGATGATGAATAGCCTCTTGAAATTAATCTAAACGGCGCTTTCCTTACTTGAAAACCTGGCCTTTTGGGGTTCCTATCTGCGCCTGTGGATTTATATCCTTCCCAAAACCTAAACAGCTTGAACTTTTCCTGCAAAATCAGAATTCAAAACTATTTTAAAACAGAATTGCAAACATTATTATATATACGCATGACTTATTCTATTATACATGAGTTAAGTCATATAATTAGTAGTATATACCTTTCTGAGTATGGTGAAGAGGACTTCACCCTTGAAATCCATGAGATAAACATCTCTACATTTGGAGCTGTAATTGTCGACTCGATACACGATCTGACCGTTCGAATCGAAGACGGTACAGCCCTTGCAATTCAGTACAAGAGACTTCATCCATATTGTGAAGGTCTCTTGCTTTGAACTGGTCAAGTAAGAGGAGGATCTTGGTGCCCCGGGGTGAACTTTTGCCATATTCTAAGACTACAACAACAACAACTTGGAAGAGATTTCATAAGCCTAAGAAATTAGGTAAGCTCATTTACAAGTACTTCACGCACGTACGTATACAATATATATATATATATATATATATGTGTTTATCTACCCTTTTGAACTAGTGGCAAGTCGCTTTATTGTATTTAATGATCAGCTCTCTTGCTTTAGTGTAAAAAATGGAGACTTAAGGCTTAAACAATAAACGTACGACGGCGCAAAAGATAGAAACCTAGGTGTCACTACGTTTGAGTTTTTGGATTTTACGAACTAAAATAACTTAGTTGAAGCTTATCGCTAGTAGTACCGATTCCTTTACCTTATGTCATGTGGGGGCTTTCTCTGTAATTAATAGCGTGGAAATTCAGTTCCCATATTCTTTTATTCGGTGAACCTGGTTTTGGCTTGCAGATTATGTAGATATGTTTTGTAATATAATATATTAAACAAAATATGGATTAGCTTATTGGTACGTGATGTAAACTAGTGATTAGTCTTGTCCGTGCGTTTTTAGATGAGTATCTAATCCGTTTGTTTAATGCAACATTCTTATAAATATAATATACTGTTGGAGCAAAATTTCATCAAACACTTATCTAACATTCTTAGACAATTAATAATTTGGATTGAATAAGTATATTATTTAAAAAAATTAGAAGAACACTAACAACTTTAGGAAAATAATAAGAGCAAAGATAATCACAAGGCAACTGTATTTAAGAATGAGTGTGTCTATCTTTTCTTCTCAAACCGAGAGAATTTATAGAACATTAGGGATTGAAGGTTTAATTCTTCCCATTAATTTAAGAGTTTATTCTCTTTTTTAATACAATAAGGTTCTTTACCTTTTTGAGTATTACAAACAATTAATAAACGAATTAAACTTGAGTCATTGAATGCCTTTAATCGTCGACCGTTAGCTTGATAACTCTTGACCTTCCAACTTTTTTTGTACGCTAGGGTAGTTATCCTAGCACACGTTCAGGTAGTTATCCTACCGTATGCTCATATAATTTTCTTAGTATACGCTTGAGTCACTCAAAAACTTACTACATTTTTGGCAGCTCCAAAAAAATCCATCCAATATATATATATACATATACATATATATATATATA